AGGTCCTATACACAGCAAAGGCTCTGTAAGAGGCCTATTTCACTGGGCAAGTTGTAGAATCCCTTTTAGGTATTCCATTCATTTATAGGCTGAAGACAGGCTTACAGACTTTCTGTAATCATGTTTCCAGACATTCCGTTCTACCCCACTCAAGTGTCTATTTTATAGTAGTAGGCAAGGGAAACCAATATTCATAAGATAGTCAAGCATCTTAGTATTATTTCCCTTCTTCAGACTGTGCCTCGATCCCTGCATCATAGAGCCCTGTTGTTAAGCATACATCACTATTTACCTCTGTCCCATTTAACCCATGCAAACCTATCTCAGTGTTCCCCTAGTTACTTTGTTCTTCCACTCTCCACTTCTTCTGTATTGCCCTCCCCAATACCTGAACTATGATGTGTCTGCCCCCTACCCTGTGTTCTACCATTGCCTACCTCCACCTCCTCCAAACCTCGCCACCTGAACCCCACTGGTAACCAACAAAGAATATATTTTCCCATTTTAGTATGGGTATCTTTCTTTAAGCTTTTACAATAATGGTCTTCTGCAATATTTGACCTTTTGTGACTGACTGATTTCACTCAGCATAATGTCCTCCAGGGTCACCCATGTTATGTGGTGGCTTACATCTTCCTTGTTGTTCTTCAAGGTAGCATAATATTCCATTGTGTGTATGTACCAACATTTGCTTATCCATTTTTCCATTGATGGGCATTAGGCATTTTGCTGTTGTGAATAGTGCTGCTATGAACATTGGTGTGCATATATCTACTTGTGTTATGGCTTGTATTTCTTTCTTTATTTTTTAATGTTTTATTGTGAATTATGTGATAGTATACATGGGAGAACATTAGTTTAACATTCATCTTAATGTATAATGTTTCATTGCCATTGTTACAATCCCCTCCATGCATCATCAAACAACCAAAGGGTATATACACTGCAAGCCTGCTCCCTGGTCGTCAATACACAGCCCCTCTCCCTCTCTGGGTCTAGAGTCCCCAGCCACTCCATCTCTCCACGTCATTGTCTCTGTCTCCATCTCAGGCATCACTGCTTCTCTGGGTAGGGTCCCGCTATCCGCTTTAATCCCTTGATGGTCCCAGGGACTGCCGCTCCTAGACTGCAAAGTTAATCACTCCCCTCCTTTTGCTACAAAATGTCTGCCTTTACATTTCCAACCCTCACAATCAGTCCTGATAACAGTTATTCTCTATTGTATCACAAGAGACCTATCTGCATCTCCTTTCACCAGCCCCACCCAGACAGATTAGATGCTACTTAGTGGAGATTCTACCTTCCTCCACACCCTCTGGATCTAGGCTCCCTCTTGAAAGCTTGTATGCAAGAAGTGACTACTTCTTGCCTTTGTAGCCTCTCCATTTTGGGTAGCCAATGTCCAAGTTGCCCATCCCTATCTACTCTGTGTATGGATGGGGTGGGAATGATCCTTGCTGTAAAGATT